AGAACAAAAAGTGATGAGCCAGTGAGTGTTGGAAGCTAAAGAAGGGGATTGGTGGAAACTTTTTTCCCCAAAGATCAAACTTCAGAAACAATTGATTAATCAATAAAATTTGTTAGTCCATAAAATCCATTCATCTTCTAGCTAAGTTAGCATTCAACTTCCCTAGTACACAGTAACCCATTCCTCCTTCATCCCAGAAAGCTAAATCTATTCCTAAGATCTGAATCAGCAGGTTAAAGTTTTGGAAATTCTACACCTAATTTCCATAAGGTTTGATCAAAGATGATCATTTCCTGTGTAGCTTCCTGTTATATGGAACCTTCATAAATGATAAAAGTTTACACAACCGACGCTAAATGATGTGCCAATGTCAATTAAACAGAGATGTAGTTGGTTTAACTCCTCCAGAAAACAATCATCCTGCCTATGGACATGCAACAGACTTAAAACCTCTGATCACAATATTTCATAGTTTTAACTGAAAAGTCAAAAATCATAGCAGTTTTCATGACAGGAAATCCATCATAGCATAGGCTATATTAGAGACTTTAAAATATATATATTTTAAGAATGTAAAACAAATGTTTAACAGAACAGGAAAGTTTTTCTAAACGGCTACATTCAGGTGAGCAAGTACTCCTAAATCATAACTTGCATCATAACTGCAATTGATTAAAATTTAAAAAGCAAATATCGCAATTTGTAATAATCTTCCGGAAGAAACAGTGGAAACAGTTCAAACTGGCCAAAGCAGGAATTTATGACAAACATCCCATCACAATGATCTATTTGATAGCAAAGCAACCTTTTTATTTTGTGTTTATCAGTTCAGCCCTTTGATACGACACCTCCTTTACTGGCTGAGATGCCTTCTTTAGGGTTGAAATATTGTTAGGATTCTCTGCTTACACTGTTTTCTATTGTTTTTAACTTTTATTTTAAGTTAATACCTGTCACACAGCAGTAAAAAACAAGGTCTTTTAGGAAACTCTTATGTTTACGTTGCTATTTATTAGTGGATCAAGTCCCAATGCAATGACCTGTTATGACAGGATAATCAGTTCTACTCCTGATATTTTGTTGTTCTCAAACAATAAGGTAGCTGTTCACCTTTACTCTGTAGCGATGGGAAAGACAATACCACAAAAACGAGACAGCAAAATGTAAAAGCTGCAAATCTATGCAAATTTAATTTAAAAATTAAAAGCTCATAGGTGTTTTTTCAATAAGGTTGAAGACTGTAAGGAGAATGGATCTCCTGCAGAGGTCTAAAAAGAGTAAAATGGCACAGAAATCATATTCATGATCATTTCAGACAAACTTCTCTCTCTAAAACATCCTACTCTAGCACTTTCAGTTTGTTAAAATGCTCCATGTTTTATTTTTTTATATTATTTCCTGCAAAGCACTTAACCTGCTTACAAAGGACATTGTGCTCGATGAATTCCATTAGTGTTTATGAGACATCTGACTCCAGTGACACAACACAAAGGCTGTTATTGTGATCTTTCTGAGGCGAGAACAAAGTATTTCACAGTCCATGTCTCTACCAGAACGCTCTTAATGAGTTTCACCTTCACAGGACGGTGTAGCCACATGAGGGCTTAACTCTCATCCGAAAGAACAAAAGCAGAAGAACAGATGCACGAGGTCAGGACACAGCGAGCTGCAGATTTTTCTGCTGTGTGAGCAGCAGCACTGAGAGACTGGAAAAAAAATAAAACACAGCTACTGATGTCTGATAAGATTTGAACTAATTGAGTTGGCAGACTCTGAAAGAGCAACTCAACTAACGCAACTTACTCCTGTCAAGCTTAAGAAATATTCTTAGATTACTGACTTTAATACATAACCTTTCTGGCATTTAATCAATTGCTAATGCTTAAAGCATCGGCTGACTTTACATTATAAAACCAAAATGATTTTAAACCTCTGATTTAAATCCGACTTTATAAATAAGATCAATGACAAAAAGATAAGGGGCCCTGTTTTAGAAATCTGACCCATATTGGGCGTCTCTCATTTCCAAAAACATTCAACAACGGAAACAGCACTCTTGCAATACTTCATCACAGTGCACACTAGCTGCTTTAAAGCCAAATAAAACATGCAGTCTCTGCTCTGGACGAGCAAATCACTGAAACATCTTCACAGAACATGTGCCCTTTGCCGTGGCAACAGGGAAAACAGCCCTGTACTGAAGCCCAAAGGCAAAATATAAAGAGGAAGCAAATTCACAATGAGCCACGTCCCGGGGAGCACAGCTACACATTACTAATGCTTTGTTTGCTTTGGTTCCTTGTTTTGTTAGTATCATTCAAATCATCTGGCAAAGTTAACATCTGGGATTAATCTTGCTTTGCTTTTACATCATTTGTCTTTGTGGCTTAATAAAGAAATTGAAATGAATACAAACCATTAGACCCAGGGTTCATCTAGATCATTTGCATTCAAAATTAATTTATAAAAAAATTAGCTATTATCTAATAAACAGCTCTCAAAGGTACATTTAACTTTTTTTTTGACAGATTTAACACAAAGTAAAAATTTGAGAGCCAGGGAAAATGTCCAAAACAAACTGGGATTATATATACGGATATAAAGGGATACCATTTAGAAATGCAACAATCAGCTATTTCCTGGCTGGTACTAATTCCTTTTTTCTTTGTCCTCCAATGACTGAGTCAGTCTTGAGAGCGCTGGGTGGGCATTTGTATTTTTATCCAGTTACCTTAAAATGATGCAAAAATGAGGTGTCCATGTAGACCAACAGGTGTTTGTCTACGATATCCACCTATGCATTCAATTTAGTTAGATTTACATTTGTTTCAAACATGATCAAAACACACTCCCATTATTACCTTTTTAAATTATGATATTTAAAAATATAAATGCACAAGACAATTTTTAAGAAGCGCAAGTCTAGTTATATCCACTTATAATCAAGTGTAATTCAACTGTAATTACAACACAACCAGGGATACTAATATGGCAGCTTTGAGTATTGGCCGTTATGGTGACCAGATATAATGCCAGCTCCAATCATACATACTATTATTACTTGTTTTGTAGTGTGGCACATTAAAAAAAGTTTGATCAAGTGATAATATTGAAACAGAGAACAAGTAAACAACAGTGTGAGAACAACTGAGTGATGGATTGTTAACCAATGCAGTTTTTTTTGTTTTTGTTTTTTTTCACACTGGGCCATTGATTTTACAATATTACATCATGTTCTACTCACCCATATGAGTTTTGTGTCATTTGGAGCTGTTCTGAAGATATTCTGTTAGGTTATATCCAAGTAGTGTTTTCCTATGGGCAACGAGTTGAAGGCACAAACTAAACTGTTCATAATTTATCATTTATGGTACGCCAGCATTCATAACATGTAGGCGAATCACCCCAGACATCCGCGGTTATATTTTTAATATTTATATCTTAAAAACGCAGCGGCGGATGTATGACGTCATCCGCTGGTCATTCTGCTAGTTTTACTCACATGCCTGGAAGATGTCTAGTTTTACTACCACAGATGATGTAGCTCTTCAAATGGAATTGAACGATTAAGATTAGCTAGCCAAATGAATAGAAGGGGTAGAGCGTAGCCGCCTGTGCCCGGGCTGCCTGTCACAACTCCAGTCCGGCGCGCAGATTATGTCATACACGCGCCGCTTTGTTCAGAACAGCTCCAAATGACACAAAACTCATATGGGTGAGTAGAACATGATGTAATAACGTGAAATCAAGGGCCTAATATAAAACAAAAAAAAACGGCGTAAAGTGTCTCCATCAACATGATGAAAATTGAAGACTTTGACGATGAAGGGCAGTATATTCCATAGTGTTTTTCTTAACAGATATTGGACCGATTTCTAATATAAATATCGGATCAGGGCATTGCTAACCGATCAAATTCAGCTGTTTACATAATCAAAAGGTACTTTTCTCAGCAGATACAGATTTCCAGTGGTCTTTTAGGTCTTATCTATCAGATTTGACAGGATCCAGATCTTTCTTCTTGTTTTTTTTTATATTTGATTCAGCAAACTATGGAAACTTGTCTGACGCCAATCTCAGACCAATTATTTAGGGGATTTCCAGCTATGTGAAAAAAGACTGTTTGTCCAAAGAGCCTCATTATCACTGCCCCCAGTCACTGATTTAAGCGTTTAACCTGGTAAGTGAGAAATTTGGACTTATTTTTCATTGTCTTGACCTTTCCTGTAGGTGTTACTTAAAATGGCTTCACATAAAACTAAACTCAGCTTCCTTTCCTAAAGCAAGTAACACTTTTGCCAGATTCTGACTGGCTGTATAAAAACAACCTAATCATGTACAAAGAAATGTTTATTCTTGATGTGTCTTTTCATGTGTGTCAAATTGATTAATACCATTATGCATAAAGTAAATGCCTTATTCATATTCCCTCCTCTGGGCTTTTGCTAAGTGGTTATTTCACCTATTTTATAATCTTACATACATGTAAGGCGAATTATAAGCACTATTTCTCAACTTATATAATTTGAATAATTTTAAGTTATGAGTTTTAAAACTTTTCTTAAAGAAGTACAAACATTTTAGTAAATGTACATCTTTTTTTCCAATTAATTTAATCTCCTACCAAAGAAAAGAGAAAATAGCTGACCTATTACTTCACATTTAGACACAAAAACAAGACCACTACAATTAACCCAAACAAAACAAAGGTATTATTTACGGTTTGGTTGTAAATTTAAGAAATGCTCCTATGACCAGAAAGTAAAATAATCCCCTATAACCAAACTAATGAGTAAAAAGAGGCTCACCAGCAGGAGAACCTGCCTCTTTAAGCGAATTGTTTGCTAGCCATCGGCGATTAGCTGCTAAGCTAGCGGCTAGCCTCTTATAACATTTTATCTTTTGTGGAAATTGAAAATAGCAACCTCTTTAAACGTTACAACATTACAAAGCAATTTTATTCGAAAAATAACCCCTTTCCCGACACTGACATTCCTTACCTCCTGTCTTCTTTTTAGGCCCAAACCATTCTAGCTGTTGGAAAGCTCTTTTCTCTTTGTCTTTTGCCACTTCCAGTTAGACGCAAAATGGACTCAGCTGAACAGCTAAAATACTAAAACCGAACCGACGGTTCACATGTTTCACCCAAAACGCAGTTCCACGGCGAGACGGAAACAAAACGACAACATTTTTTCACTCATTCATGTTGTTACTGCTGAATAAAAGTGACTGATTGCTAAGTTAAGAAGCCAAGCAGGTACAGCAGACAGGAGTGGATGGCAGGAGGCAGCGCTGCTTTCAATGTCTGTCGGAGAAATGTCAAGCACATCCTCCATCCCTCTATGGCTGAAAGTATGTAACACTTTTGTCATATTTCTGCAAGGATAGTGTTTATTTTCGATGTTCAGTAAAATATGGGGCGAATTGGATTGAACATTATCTCAACTATTTACAAATATTTCCACGCATTTGAACGAACTGTCGCACTTTAACCAAGTTATTGTGTAATAAAAATGAAAAGCTTAAGGTTTTAACTCACACAAAGGATTAATTTCCTAAAATTAGGTTATATGACTAACTGAATCAAGTTGACGAGATTCGTTTTTGACGGACATCAAGGCCCGGCTGCTATGATAATTCCGATATTTTGTGAAGGCAGCATTTTTTGTGACGTAAAGGTTGCTCGTGTTTTGACCTACAGGAGGAAATCGCGCACGTTTCATTGTTCCCCGCTGTTCATTGAAAGCTTGTTAAATAACCATAAAGGTAGACGATTGATTATTCCGGTTGTTTGGCGTTTTATGAAATAATGAATTATGAAAATAATAATTTCCTTTTTTCTCTCGAAGAGAAGTTATGTAATAATTGTTATATAAATTACAAAAAACGTTGGATTGATGTGATCAACAAAGCCATATTTATAGATAACTGTTGCAAACATATTAAGATGTCTCTAATTGTCTTTTCTAACAATTAAAATTTGATGAAAAGAAAATAACCAATCTGGTGAAATTAGTTTTTTGTTGAATTCATGGAAAAAGAGCTAATCACATGGAAGTTTTATCTTTTAATCTGAGAGCATTCCCCCCAGGCAGTGAGAAACCTAGAGGTTTGGTACCTTAAATAGAGGGCTAGTTCATCAAAGGTCATTCACCACCATTGACCTTTTGGCTCCAAGATGGTTCTACAGCCTTAGAGGCTGACCCCTCCCCACCAAGCACACAATGGACGCTTTAATAGTTCCGCTGCTATGGAAATATCTTGTGACAAGACAACATCAAGCTGAAAAGTATATATTTATATGAACTATTTCCACATCCAAAGCCCTTTCTGATACGATCAAGAGCGAAATGTTTTCATGGTTTAATAACATTATAGAAAAGGTATGTAGAATTTGTACTGCTTGAACTTTTTTTACTTGAAATCTCATCACAATCTTCCATTTTATTTATGAGATAAACTAATACTTTTATGGAGTATCAAAACAATTCTGTTATTAAGACATAAGTGATGTTTGTGAAAAGGAAACCTATAGAAGATTTCTTGCTCAGATGCAGGACAAATTAAGCTCCTTCGTCTGTAATATTCACCTCTTAACATGATGTACACATTTAACAGCCACAGAAAGTCTGAAAAGCTGCATCAGATCTTTATACAGAAACATAATTTAAACTTTACTCCCTCCATGTTTCAGAATCTTATTTTCTTCTTTTCACAACAGTAGCGTTGAATGCAGGAGTTTGCCCTGCCACTGGAGGGTAGTCGGTTCAAGCCCCGGCTCTCGTTGTGTCCTTAGGCAATATACTTCACCTGCATTGCCAACTGATGGTGGTCGGAGGGACTGGTGACTCCAGTGCACGGCAACCTAGCTTCTATCAGTGAGCCCCAGGGCAGCTGTGGCAACAGTGTAGCTTTCCACCATCAGTGTGTGAATGGGTGCATGACTGAATGTAGCATAAATTGCTTTTTCAAGTCTCTTGATTTGAAAAAGCTCAATATAAATAAAAGACATTTGCTATTTTTTCCTTTAAAATCACCTAATAAATTTGCCAGCCTAATCTACACTATGAAAACATACATTTTTAGTGTTTTAGAAATGTGTGGCATTGTTGTAAAACATATTTTAAACTTCTTTTCAAGTAAAGCTGGTTTGGTATATGCAAAACTCCAACAGGCTAAACACCAACTCCACTATAAAACATGTTGGTGGTAGGATCAAAATGTGGGGAATATTTCCCAAAATGCGGGGAATATTTCCCAAAATGCTTGCTCAAAAATGTTTGGAAGATGGATGGTACCGGAAAAAAACAGACCAAACCGGAGTTCCAATTACAATCTGAAAAACACAGACATGGAAACATTGGAATGTTTTGGAGCAAAACATAGCCATGCATTATAGCGGCTCAATCAAATAGCAGACAAAAATTCAGTTGATGTTCTTGCTATTTTTTATCCACTTTACAACCGAAGTGTGGATTGTTGTGTGGATTATTATCACAAAGACACCCCTGAAGTGTTTGGTTAGAGTGTGTGTTGTTGTTTAAGGGGTAGGAATACTTTGACAAGAGATTACACAACAATAACCAAACGGATTTATTAGAAAGAAACAATTTAATAAGAATACCACTTAGATTTTGCAAATTTTAAAATGTGTTCAAACGGTTTCCGTCTTGTTTATCGTTTAGAGATCCTGGCTGACTAAAACCAAAGTTAAGTCCATTAATCCAAAGACTTGACTCGGGTTTGTATTTCTCCTGATAGGTTTATACGTTTTTACGTTCTTCCTAGAAATGCAAACATTAAAAAAATATCACAGTATCAGTAAATACAACGAAAAAGAGTGTGGGGGAAAAAAAGAAAAACAGAGGAAACCAACTTAAAGCTATCCTGCCCTCCTCAGCAACACATCTGTCCAGCTGCTTTAGGCCCAGTATTTATGATCGGACTTTAGAAAACAAGCATTAGTTTGACACTAAGTAAGGCTAGAAAACCCCCTCCTTAATTCCCCACATGCTTATTTCTTCTTTTTCTTCTTCTTTGGTGGTCCGTCTGAATCGCTGCTGCTTTCCGAGCCAGAGCTGTCCGAGGACGATGAGGAAGAGGAGGAGCTGGAAGAGGAAGAAGAGGATGAGGAAGAGCTGTCGCTGTCCTCAGAGGAGGAGCTGGAGGAGTCGCTGCTGTCTGACGAGTCGCTAGACGAGTCGTCGCTGCTGTTGTCGCTCGAGTCTTTTGCCCTGAGAGCAAGCAGAGGAAAACGAAGAAGTAAAACCTCTCCCTTTGTACCCGTTACACAGACAATTATCAACGTGCAGCATCTTCATTAGAGTGCAAAGAGAAATGATCTAACATGACAGAAAGAGACAAAGTTCAACATTTCTACATGTTCAAGTTGTTTTAACTGATTTTCTTTGAAAATATAAGCAAAAAAAAAAAAAACAGAATACAGGATTAAAAAACAGATATATGGCTGACTAAACAATCTAATATCCCCTATGAGATTATTTAGTCACCTTAACAGTCAGTTTGATGTTTTGATGTAAAAAGAACATCAAAATAAAGCCAAAGGTTGACCTATGTAATAATCAAATAATCAGTCTAATCCGCATCTGTGAGGTGGATGGATTATCTCACTAACACAGATTTAGATATATTCTTGGATCTTTGGATTCTATTCATGAACGATAGAAACAACAACAAAAGTGTTGCATTAATATTTATGTTTAGTATGTTTAATAAGGAAAGCTTCCTCCTTTTCAGTCCTGGGCGTTGTAACATTCTGAAATGTTCAATTATTAAATGTTGTGCATTTTTTTAATACAAAAAGTTTATATACTTTAGCTTTGTATAAAGCCTAAAATAACCTAGAAAAATAAAGCACCTGAGTTAATGAGGAAATTACAGGTGCTGGTCATAAAATTAGAATATCATGAAAAAGTAGATTGATTTCAGTAATTCCATTTAAAAAGTGAAACTTGTATATTATATTCATACATTACATACAAACTCATATATTTCAGATGTTTATTTGGTTTAATTTTGATGATTACAAATGACAACAAATGAAAATCTCAAATTCATCATATCAGAAAATTAGAATATTGTGAAAAGGTTCAAAATTGATGGCCCCTGGTGCCACACTCTAATCAGCTAATTAACTCAAACCACCTGCAAAAGCCTTTAAATGGTCTTTCAGTCTAGTTCTATAGGCTACACAATCATGGGGAAGACTGCTGACTTGACAGTTGTCCAAAAGACGACCATCGACACCTTGCACAAGGAGGGCAAGACACAAAAGGTCATCGCTAAAGAGGCTGGCTGTTCACAGAGCTCAGTGTCCAAGCACATTAATAGAGAGGCGAAGGGAAGGAAAAGATGTGGTCGAAAAAAGTGTACAAGCAAGAGAGATAACCGCACCCTGGAGAGGATTGTGAAACAAAACCCATTCAAAAATGTGGGGGAGATTCACAAAGAGTGGACTGCAGCTGGAGTGAGTGCTTCAAGAACCACCACACACAGACGTATGAAAGACATGGGTTTCTGCTGTCGCATTCCTTGTGTCAAGCCACTCTTGAACCACAGACAGCGTCAGAAGCGTCTTGCCTGGGCTAAAGAGAAACAGGACTGGACTGCTGGTGAGTGGTCCAAAGTCATGTTCTCTGATGAAAGTAAATTTTGCATTTCCTTTGGAAATCAAGGTCCCAGAGTCTGGAGGAAAAGAAGAGAGGCACTACATCCACGTTGCTTGAAGTCCAGTGTAAAGTTTCCACAGTCAGTGATGGTTTGGGGTGCCATGTCATCTGCTGGTGTTGGTCCATTGTGTTTTCTGAGGTCCAGGGTCAACGCAGCCACATACCAGGAAGTTTTAGAGCACTTCATGCTTCCTGCAGCTGACCAACTTTTTGGAGATGCAGATTTCATTTTCCAACAGGACTTGGCACCTGCACACAGTGCCAAAGCTACCAGTACCTGGTTGAAGGACCATGGTATCCCTGTTCTTAATTGGCCAGCAAACTCTCCTGACCTTAACCCCATAGAAAATCTATGGGGTATTGTGAAGAAGAAGATGCAATACACCAGACCCAACAATTCAGAAGAGCTAAAAGCCACTATTAGAGCAACCTGGGCTATCATAACACCTGAGCAGTGCCACAGACTGATCGACTCCATGCCACGCCGCATTGCTGCAGTAATACAGGCCAAAGGAGGCCCAACTAAATACTGAGTGCTGTACATGCTCATACTTTTCATGTTCATACTTTTCAGTTGGCCAACATTTCTATAAATCCTTTGTTTTTATTGGTCTTCAGTAATATTCTAATTTTCTGATATGATGAATTTGAGATTTTCATTTGTTGTCATTTGTAATCATCAAAATTAAACAAAATAAACATCTGAAATATATGAGTTTGTATGTAATGTATGAATATAATATACAAGTTTCACTTTTTAAATGGAATTACTGAAATCAATCTACTTTTTCATGATATTCTAATTTTATGACCAGCACCTGTACAGAATGATTTATTTAAAAAATATATTCTGATTGTTCTGCCTATAAATAAGCAAGAATATTTCCAACTGGTTGACAATTAAATACTATTATTATGTTTGTTTTCCCAACTAAAATGCTTTAACTATTAACACATTAAACATTTAAAACCAAGAATGCTCAAATATAAAGACTGGCATCCACGACTATTTGCATCAAAACTTCTATAAGTGGGAGAGAACTCACAGAAATCCTGGAGACCAAAGCTCTTAAGCATTGCTGTTATCATTATGCGCCACCAGAGAGCGCTGTTGGGACTTTTTATTTATTTTTTACAGTTAATTATAGCTTGTGCTTAAATAATAAACAAAATATTCACTGGTTCAATGATAGCAAGAAAAAAACTTCAAGTTGTTAATTTAAAGATATTTAAATAGTTTAGCATCGTGTTTTTTTTTCTTTTTGCATGCTAACAAATGTGGGCTTTTGTTTTATAAAATATAGATAAGAACAAAAAACATAAAAATTAGTTACTAATACAACTTGCTCCCTTATGTGTGCATATGGTCAATCACACCTCAAGCTTTTCTTTGCCATACAACTTGCAGATCGAGAACTGACATTAACTTAAAAACAACCAATTTAAAGGAAACAAAAAATATATATATAGTTAATAAATATAAAGACTTACTTCTTTTTACTTTTTCTCTCACTGGATCCCTCTCCTCCTGGTCTGTGAAGAGAAATACGTTACGTAAACCAGTTTGAACCAACGCTTTATGCATACATTTTTCTGTATCATTTTATGTTATGATTCACAACTATTTTTATTGCAGAAGATCTATGAACCATCATCCAGGCTAATTTTAAAATTGAACACTGACATTTGCTGGTTAGCATGTTTTATTTATTGGAAAGTCTCGGAGAACAATTACTGGAAACACCCAAAGTGTGATTTATAGCACATTAGGTTGGAAGCATATCTGAGAAGGAAAGAAGGGATGAAGAGCCGTACCCTGTGATGCTGAGAGGTTTGTTTTCATTTTCCTTCAGCTTTTTCTTTAGCTCAACTGTTCTTGATGGTCTGTGCAAATATTTTCGTTTCCCGGTGCATTCATACGTCCAGTGTCCCATCTCCAAGCACTTCTGGCAGCGGACATGTTGTTTGTTTGCTTCTCTGAAGACAGGAAAATAAGACAAACTCTTCAACACACTGAACAATACCTCTGTATTTTATTTTCAATAATGTTTGCGATTAATGCATATTTTATGTAAATTAATAGCAGTTCAAAGTAATGGGTTATATTGTTGGTTTTGGAAATGCATAAAAAATAAGAAAGGTTACTGGAATTTTTTTTTCTTTTTTTTAATCCAAACTTTTCTAGACTAGGAGGCTCATTATTATTAAAACGATAACATTCAAGCACAATGCCAAAATATACTTTATCTTTACAAAGCAGTTAAAAATATATGACCACTTTCTTGCTTACCTTAAATCAGCTATCTTCCTAATCTACAATGCATTCTATGTTCAATAAGATTTTCCGCAGCAAAACAGCTGTGTCATTTCCATGTCTACTATCTAAAGCAAAACGCTGTTTAAAAACTTTAGGCCTGAGTTACAAGGATAATGAAATTAATATCCTAAAAAAAGTAAAGAATACCATCTGACTATGAAATAAATATAAACTGTCCTCTATTTTTACACATTAAATAAAAAATTTTCAGATACTGGAACCAAGATCATATTTATAACAGCTCGGGAAATTATAAAATCCATTTTAAAATTTTAGGACTAGGTAAAAATGTTGTTTAAATGTAATTTCTGCCTTCTAATAAAAGAAGATGATTATTGAAATGATAAACATTTTATTTTTTGCTTGTATTTTGACCATACTGCATGGTGGCTAGAACAAGATTTATAACTTTACAATCAACTTTGGGATCGATTTCTACATTTTTGACTTTCTTTACTTTCACATCGAAAGAACATATTTTATAGTAGAACCTCTTTCGCTTTATAGAGTAGCTATTTGTATAGATCAAAACTTAATGTCTACTTTATATATATAAACACTATGAAGACAAATGCTTTGAAAAAATTATATAATCATAATCTTACTGAAATCGTAGGTGTCGTAGTTCAACAATATAAAAAAATAAGAATTTAAGGAAAAAGTGACATCAATCCCCCGATTTAATATTTAGTCTACATTCATTTCTACGAAATATGTTATATATATTTCTAAGTAGGAATAAAATCCAGGCCCTTCATTTAGGTTTAAGGCAGTAAAAGCTGCATCAGAGGCTTACATTGTTTCTTCTGCTGTCTGTAAACATTTATTTCTTATTTACGGTTAGTAGGCTTACATGTTAGCTCTACTGTAACCATCACCCTTCATTCAAAAAACCTTTGTGAAACTTTGATAAATATAATAGTTGTACAGAAGGTAAAAAAATGTGAAGTAGACAGGAGTAGCGGATGAGGATCTGCGCTGTTTTCTGTGCTCCGGTTAGGATCAATTTTCCCGAAGTAAAGGGACGTTAAAGGATGTAAAGTAAGTTAGTCTTTAAGATACATATAAATTAATTCGCAGGCTTGCAAAGATTTCGTTATAAATTGTAGTTATTCGGCTTATACTTACGCTTGTCTCCTCGCAATTATTCTGTGCATGGGAGTCGCCATGTTGCCAAATATATCCCCTTCTTCTTCTTCTTCTTATGGGATTTTATGGCGGTTGGCAGACTTGTGAATTGTGCATTACCGCCACCAACTGATATGGAGTAAAGCAAGATAACAGGAAACGATTCACCCCCCCCCAAAAAAAAAAAAAAAAAAAAAAAAAAAAAAAAAAAAAAAAAAAAAAAACCTGTGTAACTTAAACCAACATAATACTAAATCACATTTGCCCATATAATTTTAATTTACTCTAGGTCATCTTAACTCTGCCAGTTTCTGATGGTCCCATCGGTCCTCCCATCATACTTCCAACCATCTCCCAGTTCAAATCTTTAATGTCCAGATATTTTTCTGCAGCCTTCACTATTATTTTGATTTTTTCCGTTTTTTTTGTTGTCTGTGCAGTACAATTAATTACTTCTACCATGAAAAGAACAAAATTTGTCTTTTTAACAATAAGTGAGTCTTCATTAATTTTTGGAGATTTCTCTAGAGGTTTGGAATTTGCTGTGTGTTGAACTGTAGGTTTGGGTTTTTCTGACTGAGATGGGATCCTTTTTGCAGCTTCAGCGTAGGTTATTCCGAGCTCAAATTTCATTTTTTTAATTTCCTCAGACCTTTTGCTTGCTTCACAGCCGCGATAGGCAGCAGTATGTTCTCCACCACAATTACAGCATTTTATTTTAGCTTCTTTTCCACATTTTCCGTACTCATGTTCTCCTGCACACCTTCCACACCTCTGTTTCCCTTTACAAACTGCTGCAACGTGACCGAATTTTTGGCATTTGAAACATCTCAATGGTGGAGGATTGTAGATTTTGACATTATAGCTTATGTAACCGATGAATACTTTGCTTGGTAATTGCTCTTCTTCGAATTTAATTAGCACAGATAAACTGTCAGATCTTTCTCCGTTTCTTGTTGTTTTTAACCGTTTTACTTCTTTTACTTTTGCACCGCTTATGTTTCCCAGAATCTCTTTTTCAGAAATTTTTAGAGGAACTCCTCCAATGACTCCCCTGCTGATCTTTTTGTTCTCCATTAGGCTGCACTGAACTCTTATCCCGTCAATTTTGTTGATACGTATTGCTTTGCCTTGCTGGGCGCTGTCTCTGCAGTTAATTAGCAGGTCTCCACTGTACAGAATTCTGGCACCTTTGACTTCTCCGACAAGTTTATTGATGGTTTTTGTTAAGTGAACCGGATTCCAATTTGTAAAAGAGTCTGCCTGATTAACGACTTTGAATATGACTTTGAATTCATTTTGTTGTGCTGTGGAATGTATGGAATGATCATCACTGGATTGTTCTGAACTAGATTCCCCTTGAACTGATCTCTGTTTTTTCCGCTTTTTCTCATTTTTTGATGTTGCTATTTTCCAACCTTCATTGTCACTATTTCCCTCTTCCATCCCACAAGAATCGCTTCCTGTTTCCTCACTACTCACGGCCCAAGACATTTCTCCATAAGCAGCTTCAAAACACGCGCCATGCACCAAACGACCATCCACCGAGCCTCTTCTTCTTCTTCTTCTTATGGGATTTTATGGCGGTTGGCAGACTTGTGAATTGTGCATTACCGCCACCAACTGATATGGAGTAAAGCAAGAAAACAGGAAACGATTCACCCCCCCAAAAAAAAAAAAAAAAAAAAAAAAAAAAAAAAAAAAAAACCTGTGTAACTTAAACCAACATAATACTAAATCACATTTGCCCATATAATTTTAATTTACTCTAGGTCATCTTAACTCTGCCAGTTTCTGATGGTCCCATCGGTCCTCCCATCATACTTCCAACCATCTCCCAGTTCAAATCTTTAATGTCCAGATATTTTTCTGCAGCCTTCACTATTATTTTGATTTTTTCCGTTTTTTTTGTTGTCTGTGCAGTACAATTAATAACTTCTACCATGAAAAGAACAAAATTTGTCTTTTTAACAATAAGTGAGTCTTCATCAATTTTTAGAGATTTCTCTAGAGGTTTGGAATTTGCTGTGTGTTGAACTGTAGGTTTGGGTTTTTCTGACTGAGATGGGATCCTTTTTGCAGCTTCAGCGTAGGTTATTCCGAGCTCAAATTTCATTTTTTTAATTTCCTCAGACCTTTTGCTTGCTTCACAGCCGCGATAGGCAGCAGTATGTTCTCCACCACAATTACAGCATTTTATTTTAGCTTCTTTTCCACATTTTCCGTACTCATGTTCTCCTGCACACCTTCCACACCTCTGTTTCCCTTTACAAACTGCTGCAATGTGACCGAATTTTTGGCATTTGAAACATCTCAATGGTGGAGGATTGTAGATTTTGACATTATAGCTTATGTAACCGATGAATACTTTGCTTGGTAATTGCTCTTCTTCGAATTTAATTAGCACAGATAAACTGTCAGATCTTTCTCCGTTTCTTGTTGTTTTTAACCGTTTTACTTCTTTTACTTTTGCACCTCTTATGTTTTCCAGAATCTCTTTTTCAGAAATTTTTAGAGGAACTCCTCCAATGACTCCCCTGCTGAACTTTTTGTTCTCCATTAAGCTGCACTGAACTCTTATCCCGTCAATTTTGTTGATCCGTATTGCTTTGCCTTGCTGGGCGCTGTCTCTGCAGATAATTAGCAGGTCTCCACTGTACAGAATTCTGGCACCTCTGACTTCTCCGACAAGTTTATTGATGGTTTTTGTTAAGTGAACCGGATTCCAATTTGTAAAAGAGTCTGCCTGATTAACGACTTTGAATATGACTTTGAATTCATTTTGTTGTGCTGTGGAATGTATGGAATGATCATCACTGGATTGTTCTGAACTAGATTCCCCTTGAACTGATCTCTGTTTTTTCCGCTTTTTCTCATTTTTTGATGTTGCTATCTTCCAACCTTCATTGTCACTATTTCCCTCTTCCATCCCACAAGAATCGCTTCCTGTTTCCTCACTACTCACGGCCCAAGACATTTCTCCATAAGCAGCTTCAAAACACGCGCCATGCACCAAACGACCATCCACATGCAATCTTTCCGGCCTTCCACCTCCGACGTTTCTTCTTCGTGGGAAATTTTAGTGCAGCGTTTGCTGTGACTGACCCTCACCATCTCTCTCCACCGAGCCTCAAACACTTCTTGTCCAAATATATCCCCTTCTTCTTTGCTATCATTAAGTGTAGAGGAGAAACAGCGCCATCCAGAGGATAAACCCCGAATGGACACAAGAGAGGAGGTTATCTGCAGACTTTGAGCACATTTTACTGAAATAAACGACCAAAAAATGGTTTTAGTGCTGGAGCAGGATTCCTACGAAGACTAATCTTTGTAGTAACGTATGTCAGCAGGCAGGGTATTCATGCAGAACATGTATTACCTCGGAATGAGAGAAAAAACATTTCATAATGATGATACAAAACCTTAAAACTCAGAGTCCTCAATATAATTACACACCCTTTTTTTATTTGTTGCTACAAATTTCCTACAAACTTGCTTTTGAAACATCAAAATGAAGAGTTAACAAGATAAATCAAAGTTAAAACAACAAGAAGTATTTTGAATGCTATTGAAAGAGCTGTTGATGTGGAGCGTTTTCTTCTCGCCATGTTGTCCCGCCAAAACTGTTGAAATTACATGTGCAATGACATAAATAATAAAAAGTTCAATAGCTATCAGTATTTTTATTTAAACTTAGAGACTTAGACAACTTGTATTGTCATTTTGTATACGCAGAGTGTATACAAAACAAATTTTCGTTTTGTACAGCTTTCAGACAGCGAATGAGCAGCAGCTTAGCAAATGTAAACAGCGTGGGAGAAAAAAGCATTGTGCAAAATGCATTTCAAACGCAGTGCAAAGACAAATATATTCGGTGCAAAAATGTAGTAGAAAAACATTATTTTAAGTTGAGTTCTTTTCGGTTTGATGTTATTAGTGTGATGCAGAGTCTGTGACTTCCTTTAGAGTTGTTTTTCAACAGTTCAGCAGTCTGATAAAGGTGGGGGAGAAGTCCTCTGTGAAGCCTCTTCCCAGAGGGCAGCAAGCAGAACAGTCCATGGTGGGGATGTGAGGCATCATTGATGATGTTACAGGCTCGGGACACGCTGGGATGAAATGTCTTTACATAAGAGACCTTTACATAGAATTGGCTGTGTTATCAAGGTATGAAGTTCCTGAGTTATTAATCAAAATCTAGAGATTTATACATTACTAAAATTAATACTATTGAATATATTGTTTACCTTAGTTCTGCAGTCTGTCCTATTACTAACTAGAATCAAATATAAAACCACTCAAAATGTCTTTATTACTTACCCTGAGGCTAGTGTTGATAATTTGTCTGTGTGTCAGAGATGCAGGTATCATTTTTCTTTTCATATTAGGAAAAAAAAACATTAAAAAAACATCTGAGTATAATGGTGTAAGCAGTCACCAAATAAATAATAATGAAAAAAGGAGCCATGAAAAGCCAAGAAAAATGCATGGATGCTGATACTGGAACTAATAGATATCTACCCTTGTTCAGCCAAAATAAATCCACGTTTGACTTCTCTGTAAAAGCTTTCACAATATTTACACAAGCATTGAACTGAGGGTGCTATGAAGTGTCTGTCGTTCCTAAATTTTTTAATAACTGAAAAACAGTGAGTGTATCTGTAGAAAAGGTTCTATTAATATGGTATATTCTAATGTAATTAGCTATTTTTAATCCGACCTGATGGTGTTTTTGAGTAAAATATCAATAACTAATCACATCTTCAAGAATATGAAGTTTGAAATTAGAAAAATTATTATTATTAAATTATTTTATTGAAAATAAAGAATATCAATGACAATCTCAAACAATACGTCAATAATGAACATTACAAAAAAAAAGAGATCATAACTCCTAATGACTTCAATAGAAATGTGAGGTTAGAACAAGGAAAGAAAAAAAAGAAAAACAAAAAAAAACAACTAATAACTATATTATTAAGAAGAGGGGACTAAATGAAATTCTTCCACTAAATCAGACAATTTATTTGCTTTAAAGTTCTGCATCTTTTTCAGACATCTTTT